GGGTGCAGGGGATCGAACTCAGTTCCTTGTGCTTGCGAGGCATGCGGTGGAACCACTGAGCTAAATCCCCAGGCCTGCCACCTGCTTTTTAGGTGTGTTACTTTTTCTTACTGTGAAAGGCTATTGAAATGAAACATTCAGGCATGGCGACTTGTATTTCTCTGTTGATGTTTTATCTGAGATAGGCAGACACTTTTTCTACAAAGGGCCAGCTAGTAAATATTGTAGGCTAAATGCATCTTGTACTTTCTGTCCTAACTGTGTGTCTGTTTCCCTGGGGGGTCAAAACAGCCATAAGCAAAGGGCTAGGCCATGTGCCAATAAATCTTTATGGATCAGAACAGAGGGCAGGCTACATCTGGCCTGCAGGGGGCAGCTTGACCACTGTCACACATCATTGGTGTACCTGTCAGCAAGGTTTGCCTGGCTGGTGTAAGGTTGTTGCTACAAAAACCCATGAGTGGTTATTGTTCCTCCCCACCTCTCAGCGGAAGGTAGCGGCGGCTCAGCATCACACAGCAAGGTCAGGGACCTCTGTTCCTGTGTCATTCATTGCTCCCTGGTGTCCCCCATATCGTCCACAGTGAAGACGTGACTGAGCTTTCACACTGCCTAGGAATTGGCACGTGAGAATTATTTCTGGATATTAGGAATTCTCCTTGCTTCTGGAGATTACCTGTTTACTAATTCTAGAGTCTGTCTGGGATAGATAATTCTAACTTATGAGGTACAGTAAGTATGACAGAAGTCCGTCCACGCTCTGGGAGTATAAAGAGCACGAAGGCTGCCTTCCACGCCATGGTCCGAATGGCAGCCGGGCGTGGTGGTGCACACCTGCAGGCCCAGCACTGTGGGAGGCTGAGGCAGCTTGACGGCAAGTTCAAGCCCAGCAAGACCCTGTCTGAAAAGTCAGCTATTTTGTCAAGGCCGTGTCTGATCGCTGGGAAGCACCAGAGCTGCGGCCTTTGCCGGGAACCCAGGTTTACTTGAGAAGGGAAATAGTGCCCTGGTGCTCAGAACCATTGCCTCCCTCTCCTTCTTCCCCTGCAGAAAGCCACCATCAGCCACGTGTCGCCCGACAGCCTCTACCTGTTCCGTGTCCAGGCCGTGTGTCGCAATGACATGCGCAGCGACTTCAGCCAGACGATGCTCTTTCAGGGTGAGTCTGGCTCACCTCTCCCTCCTGCCCCAAATCATCCCCGTGTGGTTTCTCTTTTTCTGTTCCGGACCTGGGCGGGGTAGAACCCAGCATAAGGTTTCAACCACCCCTGGACCGCCCCAGTGATTTCTACCTGTCTTTGAGCTTGGAGCTTCATAGGCCAGAGGGAAGGAAAGGCCAAGGTTCTATGGTTGGCTTTACTGGTATTTTCCAACTGGGGGGGATTGGTCGTTGGGCCTTGTACCGCCGTCCCACCCGAGTCTAGCGCTGTGTCAAATCCCAGAATCACCTCTCCATCGTGACCTCAGGTGGCCTCTTCAGATTCCTAGTGTACTCCGCTCACCGTTCTCTCAAGAACTGGAGCCCCAGACAGCTCAGTTCACCTTTCCACTGGAAAGCCACACAAGCCCCAGCTCCCCGGAATACAAGTGTATGTTCCTGATGACTTAGAGACTGGTGGAAAGTTCTGGGCCAGAACAAGGGGTAAGCGCGTAGGACTTTGCCTTGCTATAAGATTTGAATGCACTGGGCTGGGGATTCAGCTCAGTGGTGCTGCTGCCTGCATCACAAGCACAAAGACCTGAGTTCAATGCCCCGTACCAAAAAAAAAAAATTTTTTTAACATGCTGAAGAGCTCAGAAAGCGATCTGGATATATAACATTTGAATGCATTTCTTTTAATCAGTGTATGTGTGCTTTGGGTACTTGGTACGTGTATTTAACACATCTTGCTGATTTTTGAGTCCCTGTATCCTCTTCTCTGTCACCTCTCGCCTCTCCCGATTCCCTTGCCATCTCTGAAACTCTGCTTTCTTGTTTCCTACCATCTCTTCTTTATTTTATTCTTTCTTTGATATAAAGTGTCGGTTTCTCATATAAGAGAAACCATGCAATCTTTAGTTTTCGGTGTCTGTTATTTCTCAATGTTACGGTCTCATGTTCTACCCATTTTTCTGCAAATGACATGATTTCATTCTTTATGGTTGAATCATATTCCTCCGTGTTTATATACTATGCTTTCATTATCCATTCTTCTATTTGATATTTTTATAGCATAGTCAGTACAAAGACTTCATAAATCAACTGTTAGAGTTTTGCGAAAAGGATGCCTTCTGTGTTGCTGGCCTCAGCCTATCTGTGGTCTCCGTTCTGACCTGGTTGGTTTCCCAAGATAGGGAGCCTGACTTTGGACTGTAGTTTGCCCCGTTGGCTTTGCGCCAGGCAGTAGGGGCAGCTCAGAAGTGCACGATGGGCACTGGGCCCCACCTGGCTCGTCCAAGGCTTCTCACTGGCATCTGTAGTTCTCAGCCTTCAGCTTTCCCGCCTTCCACGAGAAGCCTGCACACCTCCCCATTAATTAGTTCCTTCCCTCTCGGAGCCATGGATGGACCTTTTCCCTAGAAAATGCCAGAATCTTTGCCTGTGAATGCCGGGATCCTGCGATGCCTGCAGGTGTTGCAGCAG